GATTCAGAAAACACAACACTGCTAAATAAGTGGTCCCTAATGTAAAAAATTGTTTTAAGACTTAAGTTTAAAGAATGTGTCAAGAAAATTTTCACTGTGATCATTTCTGTCTCTTATCCAACCTGCCTGGAGAGCTGGAATTATATAGCATTACATAGTTTCTTGATGTACATGTAAATATACTTACAAATAATTGTATATTTACTACTACTAATAATAATAATAAAGCATTTATAAGGTGCACTATATCTGCAAAGCATTCAGAGGCGCCGGTCTAGGTGGAAAAATGAAAAACTCAATTGTGCATTCATAGTGAAAAAGCTTGTGAGAAGAAGAATGTTTTGAGATGATGCTGAAATTGCTTGATATACTGCTATACTAGTATATTACTATACTAGTATATTATTACATATATATACTAACTACACACACAAATATGAATCTTTGTTTATATAGCAATCTGATAGCATCTTAAAGTGGAAACGGATCAACTCACCTGCACAAATGCGACCGTCACTACAATTAAAATGGCCTGCAAAGAAAGAATGAGCAAATTCCAATTACAGTCATTGCAAAAGTTTAGCACCACCCATAGAAAATGCATTAACCTGAAGGAAAACCAAACTTAAACCAATCAATCATGGCAACTTATGTTTATTTTCAATGTGTAACCTTGGTACCTTGGTTGAACATTTTTGTACTCATGAAATACACAACTCCAAAAAAGTTAAGGACCACTTTTTTCTTAACTTGTTTTTTCCAAGCAATGAGTGGGGTCTAATTCTTTCATTTTTGTTTGTCTAGATGGTGTTCTCATTGGACAAAAACATTTTAAAATAATCAAATGCACATTTTCAGCAATAAAATATCTCACATAAGAAAGTATACACAAAATAAAAAGTGGTCCCTAACTATTTTTTAGCAGTGTGATTTAACATTTGTAAATAACATACCATTAAGCACGCATGAAACCCAGACAGTCCTAACTGAGCCACAAAATGCATATTGGAATATATGGATTAATGTACCATAGCTGGAGTGCTTACTATTATTATCTTCCAAGCTCAGGCCAATCTATTCTCTATCACACACACAGCTGCGTCAACAAAAATGATTGATTTCACTGCCAGTTTCAAGCACTTTTCCACAACACAAAACATATAATATGATTATTACCCAAGTCTGTTTTGGTCATAGTTCAATGATTTACCACTGACAACAAGATCACACCCAGATGTGGAAATTTACACGGAAGGATCTCTCTTTAGATGATATCAAACTTACCACAGTGATGCTGACTGCATCGTCATACTGCCCCATGACAATTGAGACTACAGCGGAAGCCAACAACAGCATGATCAAAGGATCCTTGAACTATCCAAACACAAATCACCAAGAAAAAAGGAAATACTCAGACCAAAAACTTCATTTTTGCTACCAGAATATGAAATGAAAGTGAATCCATTTAAAGTTCTTATGAGAAATAACAGTTTTAAAATCAGGTGACAACTGTTTCAAATCAAGGGAACAATACTTTATAGGGTACTACTTACAGCATAAATAACTCAGTTGACTCTTTAGAACTGCACAACATTGAAAACATTACAGACACTTTTTAATTCATTTAATATTTCTAATATCGGATTTTCTCAAATTCCCCTCTCCCCAAATAGTTACAATTGTACCGTTGTAATTGGGTAGATCAGAAAAGAGGAAAATAACTATTGTTTGGCCAAGTAATATCGATAATATACACCAACTAATGGTATGCAGTCAAACCCTTGAGAGAATTTCTTGGAAGACATAAACCCACACCCAAAGATCTATCAAAATCCAGACGGATTATTAGCAAGATTTGAAGAGAAAAAGGTAGAAGCCTGCCACTTTTAAAGTAATTTACAATTAATCAGATAACATGCCACTTGTTTGTCAACAACACTTGGTTTTCAAGGATTCAGCAATGTCCCTAGGATAGGAAGTTCAGGTCAAATGTCCATCAAGGGGTGTTACCCATCAGGAGAGGGAAAACATTACCTGGTCAAGGTACTTCCTCCAGAGAGGTTCGTCCTTGCTGATCTCAAAGTCATTGTGACCATGAACCTTGAGTCGATGGACAGCTTCTTCAGTGCAGAGGCCGGCTCTAGGGTCAGCACGGAGACGGTGGATGACATCATCAGCAGACCGTTCTGAGGCAGCGTGTGCAGTAAGATACTGCATCCTGGCCTCGTCTTCCTGGATTTGTCCCTCTGCTTCCAGGGTTACTGGAGTCTGTTAAGCACACAAAAGTTTAAGACTGATCAAATGGGGCCTCCTTAGTCCTATGTAACCTGGTCCTGCAATGTATTTATTTGGCTATGGCCTGACCCTCCAAGATTTTCCAAAGTCCAACAGAAGTTTGATCAATTTTCTCAAAGTGTTATTTTCTTTTTAGTTTATCACAAAATAGAGTTCGGTTACAAAAAGGCATGCAAAATGCTGACAGGACATCAGCAATGCTTACAATCACGTGTTCAAATACGAGGCGTTAAGAAGTCAATGGGACAAAAGTGATGATGTGAAATGGATAATGCTGACAAATTCTTTCAGATGGCAGAGAACTGGTTTCATTAAGTGAATGTACGTAGCCTTGAGCATTGCTTGGGCTAGTACAGTAAAACAATGTTTGCTGTATTGTTTTGAGAATTACTGGGGATCGAGCAAGTGTTGCCCTATGGTGGATCAATCTGCCAATGGTTGCGGTCTTTGCTGTGAGGCTTTACTTGCAGAGGCGATTGCTTAAGTGACGCTGATAAGTTACTATGGATAGAGGAAATATGATGCTTGATACAGACAGCCAGGTACTGCAATATTCGACCCATGTACCGAGCTTCACATTGGCACCGAAATTCATAAATAATATTGCTACATGTAAGATGCGTGGTAGGTAACACATCTTTACAGACAGTCGGAAGCATCTTGCGTGCAAGACATCACTAATTATTCCTCACAATGACATATCATCCATCAGAAAGAGATATGTCGTAACGAGTCAAATTTAGCATAGGAAAATATTGAAGCATGCATTTACAGAATACTGAGACTTTTCCAGGCCCCTCTTATACTGGGTTTATGCAGAAGGTGTCACGTGATGTCTGTTTAGGCCCGATAAAATTCATTCCTTGTTTGTCATCACTCAAAATTATATTTTTGGGCTGGGAGGATCTTTGATATTTAATATTTTCCAACTTTTCAGATATAGTTGAAATATACCTTTCTTGTACCCTATTTTAATACCTGAGTGTTCCATATCATAAGAGCATGATCAGATCAATTGGTCATGGTTGAGGGCAAGACTAAAGAACAAAAAAATGAAGTGGCTATCGTTACGGCAGTCGTAATGCATTTCTCATTTTCTATCGTTACGGCACTGAACTGCACAAGTGCGATGACGTAGCTGATCATCACGACGGTTTATATATTTTACAATTACCTGGATCGCTGAACACTTGTAGCTGAGTGGTCAAGGTGGAAGGTTTGGAACCACTGGTATGTGAGTTTGAATCCGCGCTTGGACTTTTTTTTTCTGCCTAAACATCATGTTTTATACCATAATTGTTTTTTATGTTGGTTTCTAATTGTATGGGCCTAAGCAGGAATCTTTTTGTCTTTTCTCATCGGAGGCTTTGGAGGATTTTTCTAAAGGGAAATAAAGTCTGAAATTCGCGCTTAAGTTGGCGCGCTTGCGCAGTTGCAGTGCTGTAATGATAGAAAATGGGAGATGCGTTATGGCTGCTGTAACAACAGCAACTGCACAAAAAAACAAGACCCTTTTTGTGGTGCAGACACATCTGCAAGGTTGAAAAGGCCCGGAAATTAATTAAAAAGTTGGAAATATCAAATATCAAAAAAAGTTGGTGTGGTAGGAAAATTCGGAAAATTCAAATATCAAAAAAAGTTGGTGTGGTAGGGAAATTCGGATGGTGATGATAAACAAGGAATTAATTTTAATTGGCTTATCACACTTTTTGGAACTCTTTCCTTTCAATACACTTAGATTAACATCCAGGGTATCAATTCATCCTCCTGTAGCAAACTTTTTTGTAACATTTTTACCAATGACAGAGATAGCTGAAATTTGTTCACACGGACTTCAGAGCCTAACCAATAGCCTAGGGCCATTTTCCAATACTCAACTTCATCTCCGTCTCAGGCTTCGTTCCCAAAACCAATCCCCGATTGTGGGCCTGAAGCGTTTAGGCCTAAATTACGTTGGATTACTGTACATTTTGGCTTTCTTGCATCTTATTTGATGTTATGTGGCACGATTAGACTAATTACTGTGCTTACAGCTTTAAAGTCAGCTGGTAAAAAACAGTTGAAGCCTGAGACTGAGCTGAAGTTGAGTATTGGAAAACGGCCTTGGCCTAGCTAATGTTATTTCTTACATTACAAATTTCCGGACATGATCATGATGATTTATACTCAAGTATAGGCCCAAAATCACCCGGCAAAAGCTAGTAATACATCACTGCAACAACTATTTTTTAAATTTCAAATAATATCCGGAACATTCATTAACATTCGTGCAGTTTTAAGAAGATAAAAGATCACCTTGTCGTCTTTTTGATCTGGCACAGACGGACGTGCAATTGCTCCAGGAACTCGTTGGTGGGTGTTGTTCACAGCACCGTTGCCATGAGAAATTTCCTTCTCTTTTGTGTCAAGACCTAACATCATAAAGTCATCATTTCGGTAACATCATACTATGCCCATTCGTAGCGAATTTCAATGTTACTTTTTAAAATATGTCAACTTTTTAGGTTGTTAAAAAAACGCAGTTCACAGGAACTTGTCTCGCCACTGCTGGTACATGTACTACTTCTCTCACGAATGCAACTCCTAAAATAAAAATGGATCAATACAGTCTGGTGCCTTAAAAAATTTCATTACAAATTGATTAAATGAAAAGGATTACAGACCAACCAAAGCTTACTAAAGGGCGCCATCCGTTGGCTTATTGACGCCAGTCTCGACACGGCACGTGATTTAAAGCCCGGACATTTGGCGCGGGTTCCGGTTTGGAGTTTAATGCCGATCAATGAATTACTGATAACCAAACGTGAACAATGAATCCATCAGAGATCAAAACTTTGGCTTTGAAAATCGGAATTTCATCAAAAGATGTAATCAGGTAAGCTAGGTTAGGGCTAGGTTTTTTTTCTCTTCCAGATCTACGTCATGCATGATCTAGGCCTGTCCATTTCCTGTGTTTTCCTTGCTTTGTACAAGTAGGCCTAGTGCAAATTGATTATGTACCTTGAACGTAAGAGCCTAGACATTCTAGAGGCGAACCACACTATCATAACACAACTTTTTAGAAGTTTACCAATTATAGCAGGCCAGGCCTACCTCCAGGGTCACGCTGCTAACGTATTAAGCCTAGTTTCTGTTGCCAAATCCATGTCCAAAATGTTGGAACAGATGATGTTGAATCCTGTGGGTAGTTACTCAGACTTCTCCCTGACTGCCTGATTGACGTTGTTCCCTAGCTTGGATCTGTTCTTGTTTTTGTGACCATGAAACACCATCTAATTCATTTTGCCTAGTGGAAGTCCATTGCATTTCAGAGTAGGAGCCTAATAACCATCGTGATCAAGGTGGCAACCGTAATATTCGTTTGCAACCTCACAATTTGTATTAAAAAATTCCTAATAAACCAGGTTACGGCCTTTTTGGAAAGAGTTTCATAAACAGACATCACTTGAGGCCCTGTGCACAAGCCGATGCAACTGGCCTGAAAAATTCAAAGTGTTTTCTAAGTAAATGCTTCAATACATTTGACTTTTTAGGACATGTTATCACTTTTTGATTGCTAGTAAACCACTGGAAGGGGAATTAGTGATGTCCGTATGTGGAACTTATACTGCCTTTTTTATTCTGTGTTGCAACTTCTTTTAGGAAAGCCGAGGAATTGCTGAGACTTTGTGAAATCCGATGCATGTCAGCAACAGCCCTTGGCCCAAACAGCACATGCCAGGCAGTCATGTGCATTGAGCTGGCAGCAACATCAGTGGACCAACCAATCGACAAAGTAAATCTCCTCATATTGTTTGGTAGATTCTGTATTTGATTTGGGACAATCATAACCAATCATTATCATTGTCATCATCACTATCACAGGTTACCTAACCTGTAAATGGCGATTTCTTCACTGTTGGTTATGGAAACAAAATAAATAAATAAATAAATATTCAAGATCCTGAAAGGCATCTTCATCAGTTATCTTCATCAGTCTTCTGAATGTATGTTATCTCATTCTGTGCATTAATATCGTTAATGTCATATTTACCAGTACTCATTTTAACTCCATCAAAAGAATGAATAATAAAAACCTGATATTTATGAGTTGTATTTACACAGTTTACTTTCATTTTATTTGTTTCCAGAATGCTGCCATCCGGTGTTCAGGAGTAACAAGAAAAGTCTACACTACGTTGTACAAGACGTTAGAGAACATCCTGGAGATGAAGCAAGATATTGGTATCAGAGATCTTGCTGTACAGTTTGGTTGTTTGCCTGCAGTCAACCCAGCACTAGAGATTCTGGCAAGGTGCTAGCTTCTCTGAAAATTTGAGACTAAAAATAAAACAGACTACCACGGAGGTTACTAGTCCATGTAAATTTAAATCAGGGACCTTGTCTTTATTGCCATAAATTTATTTCACAAGCTGCTGAATGATCAGTCATTCCAGTAAAGTTGAAAATGTACCAGCGAAGTCTTACTTTTCAAATTTGAATGATTTCCAAAAGCTAAAAGTAAAAGAAAAATCCTGAAAGGGTGGTAACTTTTTTTCTCTCTTTGTATTTTTGTCGTTCAGATACAGAAAAGAATGTGAAGGAAAAATGAGCGAGTCAGCAAGGGACGATGTCAACTTCAACAGTTCATTGTTTACAACTGGAAGTTTGTACACTGCGTGCAGGTAGGGAGATACATGCGCATAATGTACCTGCTTTTAATTTAGAAAGTATTCCTGAATATGGAGTTTTGTGGGAAAAGGGAACTTCCGAGATGAAGTCCTTGGGTAGCTAAAGTTTATTGCACTGGATGATTTTCAGAACTATAGAGGGCCATGTGTGGTAGCCATCTTACAGGGTGGTTCTTCTGTTCCACAGGGAAACCTCCTTTGTGCATACCCTGTGGAAAATTAGACTTCAGTATCATAAATTATCAACATCTGCTGAAATTTCATAATTTGTCAACCCAAAAGTTTGATTTGGACTAATCTTTTTGTCAGTACATGAACATACAACTCACACCGCATCTGGGCATACTACCCACAACTACAAGGTTTCTTTTTTTATCATCAGGCATCTAAAAATCAAGGTAGAGAAGAGTAAATTTCTGTTGGTTGCTGGAGTGAAGAAATCCACTTTTGACAGACTGAGCTCTGACCTCACAACACATGCTACAGCTGTCATAGGTAAGAGAGCAGTCAGCAAAGTGTCAGAGCTTGTGAGAAAATAGCACCCTTTTGCTAGGTTGAGATGTGAACCCTCAACCTCCAGCTTGCATGTGAAAATACCTTAACCAATTAACCATCAGGTTCACTGGGGCCAGCAGGCAGGTTCCAATCCAATATTTCAATCACTGACTTATGGTGATATATTGTTCCAAAGTTGATGCTGTATTTAATTTCAGACATCATTTTGATTGAAATTTTCCACCTTTTTTTTTACAACTCTGCAGGGGAAAGAAAGACGGGTAAATCTAAGAGACAAGGACATTGGTTGGAAGACCTAGAAAAATCCTTTGAAGGTCTGTATATAAATGGACATCAATCCAGCCTCCCTAAGCAGATGAGGAGGCAGACTTTCACATTTTCTGATTTCAAGTGCTTTAAATTTGGAAGCATTTTCTCTAAAATGTATTTTTCCCCATTTCTTTATTTGCCAGAAGAGTGCAGCCCACCAAAGAGGCAACCAATAGCAAAGCAGCATGGTGTATCCAATGGCAACAATGACTATGAGGAGTGGAAGAGAAAAATACTGGAGGGAACAAAAACGAACACACAATCATGACAAAAGAAGGACCTGCTTTGAAATTGTTCATATTGTTGATGTGTTTGAGTTGCAGTTTGTTGAAGAATGTGCTCAGAATGAGATTTAGTGTTGGTTTTTGTTTTGCATGAAACCTAGTGTTAATTTCATTTGCCTGAACCCAGAAATGTTGAGCTAAGAAAGTATAACACGGGTTACCAGCCCAGGTTTCATGAGATTTAATGGAAATTGTCTGGCTCCTCTTTTTTGGTGTGATGTTTTCTGTCTTAATGCAATTAAAGTTAAATCAAGTTAATTAAATTACTTTTCTGGTTAGTTTTGTATTGTGTCTTGCAACCCCATCATTAATTTGGGCCATGTCATATTACCAACTCAGTTATGTTGCACTGTTCATATATCGTACCTGTGTGGAAGAAGTACGACTAACTTGGGGCAGGTAGTTCAAAGTTACATTTTCAAAGTCTGTGGAGAGTTTCTAAATGAATGTAAATATTGGTTGAATCTAACAAATAAATGAGGATGAAGCTGTGAAGTTAATTACACTGATGCAGTCTTTGCTCTTGCAGTTTTCCATAATTAACTTTAGAATGTTTTGAAGCCAAAAATGAGATGTTTAATTGAAAGCAGAGTTTTTAAATAATGATTTGAGTTGCGCTGTTCCAATAACGCAAAATGAATGACTCTGTTTTTGTGCTACTTTTTTTTTTACTCAGTAAGTTTCAATAAAATCTACCAAAAAATTCCTTCGTTTACAAAAATGTGACTGATTTCCCTAGGTTTTGTTGTTTTTTATGGAGACACACCGGGAATGATTCTGGGAATGGAGGGGAATGCGCTGTGTATTTTTGAAATTTCACACCCTCCGCGTCGGACCCAAATTGTGAAATACTGGAGGCGTGTGGATTTTCAGGTATCGTCACGAGAGGGCGCTGTCTAATTGCACTATGACGACGAGAGAAGCGGAGTCAGATAGCTCTTCGACAATACGAGGGGTGGTTATTGAAATGTTTTGATCTGATCGGCCAGTTCGTATTCTTAAAAATGAACAAGGGTGGAAGGGTGAGTAATGAGTGTTTGGAATCACATTCTGACTTGGAAGTAGTTTTGAAATGATTTCAGAAATGCAAACACTGGCTGAAGTTCCTTGCTGGCTTTGCTCTGCTGACTGTGATGTGGTAGTGTGTGTGTGCTGACCACGCTCAGCGCAATCAGTCGATCCGCACGGGCGATCGCCGGATCGTTGTGCTCCTGTCGATCTTATTGCATGATTTGCCAATAATTCCACCATCAACCCATTCCCTTTTCTTTCATCGGTACTTGTGGAAGATTGTTTCGAAAAAGGAAACATCACAGATTTTCACACAGGTCGATGGATCTAGTGCAACATGATCACACCCAACACACACACTGTGTAGGCCTAAAATTGGCCGAATTATTGAATGGGCCTTGAAAACCATAAAGAACAATTGTAAATTTAAAGAAACGACTGTTCTGCTACATTGCTGTAAACCATCTTTCTGCAGAAGCCTTCCAAATCCATGCAATGTTATTTCAGTGTACAGTTGGTCATCATAATTCATATTTCTAACAATTTTTCTGACAACGTATCTATTTATCCTGTTTGTTTACACTAATCTTTTTACAGGCAAACTTACAGAACTATAGACCTGTTATACGCAAGGGAATTGGGTAAGAGCAAACTCTCAGTCCAGATCCAGCCTTCAATCTTGTCTACATGTACCTCTGAATCCCAACACAACAGTTTTCACGATGACATAAAATAAATTGAAACCAAATCTGCTCAAATTCCTCAGTTTTCAATTTACAGAATCTACTCAGATGTTAGATTGAAATGTCATGTTTTATCAGTTGTTCCATGAGGGATGAATCTATCAGAAACAGTTCCTAGAGTTTGGTCCAAGATTTGTAATGATAGAGAAATGCCCAGATCTTTGTCTGTCTTTCTAGGGATCGTCCTATTCGCTTCAAATGCTCCCTACAGAACACCATCCTTGATGTGTTGCGATCCAAGAACTGGGTCGAGGTCAAAGAGTAAGTCTGACATTCAATGTTTATTTTTGGCAAACTGGGACCAAAGCAAATATGTTCCTTCTTGAAGGTACCTCTGAGTATCTTCCTGATAAATTTATATTTTATCTCAATTTCTAATACCAAAACACTTTAAAAGTGAAAGATCACCAGCCAAAAATCCAATTAAAACCAATTTTCAAACGGTATTAAAATCCATCTTTATGGACTCACAAGGTTGACAAATTCCATAGCCCTCAAAAAAGCATGGAACATTTTGGAAATTCAGTGACTATTGATATTTCCAATTTTGTTTACGAATTTTTTGCACCTGGCATATTTTGGCCCCTTTCGTATTTGTAAAGGTCGGTTTATATTTGGCACGAAAGCAAACACAAATTTGAGTATGTGCCATCAAATCAAATATTTATGCTGCAAATTGGCAAACGTTGAACACATTTCAACCTTGAGGGAAATTTGCTGTAAATATTTCGTGACGTCAGATTCTCTTTGCTTTCACATTTGCTTGAAGTATAAACCGGCCTTAAAACAGAAAAGGAAAGCACCTCTGCCAAGTAATTTTGGATTTTTGCCCTGCCCGACGTGTATTTTAACACTGTATACTCAGTGTATGCCCCTGAAGGCTTGTGAAAAAAATCACAAGTGTACTCGGTTGGGACTCGAACCCACGACCTCCTGCTTACTAGTGCAGACGTCTTAACCACTCGACCACCAAGCTTGCTGGTGTTGGCTGGCTGTTTCAAATCAGATGTAGCAGCAGGTACCACAAACAACTACATGTATTTCACAAGCCTTTGGGGGCATTCACTGAGTATAGAGTGTTATAATACACATCGGGCAAGGCAAAAATCCCAAATTAATTTACATCTCCCCGGCGCAAATCCATCCTTAAAACACCTCTGCCAAGTATGGTTTTTGTATAATAACTTTTGCTCCTGTTTCAAATGCACTGTTCTGTTCTATGGAGATATGTAGTTAACTTACCACCTTATTTCCCACTGGAGTCTGGCTGTAAAGATTCTGCTTCCACATTCTTTCTGTGACATCAATATGTTTGTCTTTTCTCTCCTCAGTTAGCTCAACGTTGATTATATCTAATGCATTATGGGAAATACCATCTGCCTACTAATACTTACTCCTCTACACATCAATCTATTCCCTACATCACACGTTTGAAGTACTGGTCAGCTGCCCTCTGCCAAAGATCCCTCTCACAAACTCACATACCTCCGGGTACCCCCTCCCTGTAACCCCCAGCTTCTCCTGTATCCATTCTCCTCTGCCAAGCTCCCCGTGCAGAACTAATTTTACTCAAGTGCTGTTGTAAATCAGTATTTTATCCTGGAGAAACTTATGGTTATGGCTGATGTGGAAAATTATTTGGCAAAATTTCTGAAATTTGTTTGAATGGTGAAGAAGCCCTTTGAAATCCGTTTATGCTGTTTATGTTTTCTGTACAATTTGATGATTATTGTGGACAGTATCTATCACAGAAATGTGGCCAAGGTTGAAGGGTCCCCCCTCTCCTGCCTCAATCAAATTCTTTACTTGAAATCCATTTCCATCTGACAATTCACCATACTAACCTTCATGGACATAATTCATGCACATAAATCTGTATAAATTAATGGTGGAATCGTGTGTGTGTGTATGCTCGCTGCAGAGATGCGGACTTTGATTTCTTTTGGGCTGACGTGGGCTGGATGAAGGAGTACTTTGATCACTTCTACATGCAAGAACATGTCAGGATTAATCACTTTAGGAATCATTATGAGGTTAGAGGTCAATCACCTTGCACCCATAGCAACAGACAATCTGATCCATGGGGGTAGCCATCTTGGATTGTTAATGCCATCGCTTAATGGGAATCAGTGGCTAACCCGCTGATTTACTTTGTATTGGAATCCCTTTCATTTCATATCAAATAACAAGTTGTGCTCTAGTTGTCCTGTAACTGTGACAAAATTTGGCCAATCAAATACAAGATGGCCACCTGTTTGGTTCAGACTGTCTTCTGTTGCATTAAAACAATTGGGATGAAAGTCAGGAGAAAAACCAGTTCTTTGGAATAATTGATGAGAGTAGAACGCCTTGCTCCTGAGCCTGTAAATACTCAAACTGCTAATTTGCTGCTGTTTTGAATGGAATATTTGTGAGCTTAGACAAAATAAATGTCACAATGAGGCAATGTGTGAAAATAAATTTACCTTCTGACCCAAGAAAATTTCTGGATAACTGCTGTCAATAGCAGAGTGTAAAGAGAATCTTCAACAGAGAAATCCTCCAATGACAGTTAGTTCCATCGGTTTTTCCAAATGGACTGCTCCTTCCCTGACTTTCAGCCCAATTTCCACCCTTGATTTTGTTTTGTTGTGGTCGCAATCATGATTTTATTTTTGCCCCCATGCCATGCCCCTCTCCTTCCACTCGCTTGTAGGGATGAATTTGATTTTGACTTTTTCTGGGCGGATCGGGTTTGGATGCGAGAATACTTTGACACGTGCTACATGGAGGACCATGTACGCATCAACCACTTTCGAAATCACTATGAGGTAAGGCCAACAAGTAATGTAGCATACGGCAACAGGTTTGTGAAGAAGCCTACTTAGTAAAGGAGGGACATTGCAACTGACTTGCCCTATCCTTCCTAATGATGCTAGACCATCTCAATGAAAATCGACATCCTCCACCGTCTCCTCTGAATATGAGCCACAAGCCGTTATATCTTTCCACAAACATTTGTTTCTCCCTTTTGGTGTTCACATCGCTCTATGTTTTGTTTATCAGAGCTGCAGTATGTAAACTTCACTTAGGAACATCTGCTATGTTTCAAATCATGCAGATTTTTAATGATGACCATTTGAAGCTCACCAAAGTTGACAAGTTTGTCAGATAAAATGCCTTATACATCCATTTCATTTTCCTCCCACACTGTTGTCAGCTAGATTAGAAATAATAATTAATTACTTAGATTTTAACTGTCATGGTTTGTTTTATGACCCACATCACCGCTATATCTTTTTGTTTGGCCTGATATTCCCACTTCATGGTGTCTAGTTTATCCAATAGATATAGTGTTCATTTTCTAGTTTTTGTATCCCACTGCTGTTGCATGTACTGATTTTTTTATTATTTTCATCGGCAGTTGACTCGCAAGAACTTAATGGTGAAGAATCTAAAGAGATATCGCAAGCAGTTGGAACGAGAAGTTAGCAAAGTAGAAGCTTCCAGATGCGATTTCTTCCCAATGACCTTTGAACTGCCAGTAAGTTGTCTCTGCCAACTGAGCCATGAAACAGCCACTTGATTTCTGTTGGACAAACTAGAGGTCAAGCAAAGGTCAAGTAATCAGCGACTTCACATTTCTCAAAAATGTCAATAGATTTTTATGATTTATGAATAATATATAATATCCTAAACAGTCAAACAGTCAGATTTGAATTGTGACAAGTGGATTACGACTACTTGATGTCCATGACAAGATTAAATTCGTTATGAATTGTTTTAAAGTCAATCCTCAGCTGTAGTTGTGAATAATAATTTGTAATAAGTTATAAAGTGAATTGTGAATATTAATGAGTGCATCCGGCCATGTTTAATATTTGGGTTGAATTCTATTTCTTACTTCTAGTCAGAGTATCACATGTTTGTGGATGAGTTTAAGAGAAATCCTGGTTCCATCTGGATCATGAAGCCAGTTGCTAAGTCTCAAGGCAAAGGCATCTTCCTCTTCAAGAAACTTAAAGACATCATGGAATGGAAGAAGGTACAGATAGGTCATAGTTTAACACTTATGAATAATTCATGTAATCATGAATAGTTTATTATTTTGTATTGTTGTTGTATTGGTTTTCATTTTTGCCTTCCCTCAGAGTGATAGTTACCGGCCCAGAGATGGTAAGGATGAGGAAAAAGAACAGCCAGAGACATACATTGTGTCGCGGTATATTGAGCGCCCTTACCTCATCGGAGGGAGGAAATTCGATCTTAGGGTCTACGTCCTTGTCACCTCGGTATGTACCAGTTTAACGACACCCTCTCATATGAGCATCAACACTAGCTCCAAGCATTACATATCCATTGAAATTGCTCCCAGAGTTATTTTGACATCTGAATGCAAACACACACATGTGTTAAGTTAATGGAGTCGATTTTTGTGTCTATGAAAGTGAAACGTATGAACGCATCATGTACGCCATGCACCAAAAAAACATGCATATGGAAAGGCACCTTAAGTCAACTTGTAACTAACTGATTTATAGTAAATTTAGTCGGGCATTTAAATAACGAAGAACAAGTGGCTTTGTTGTACCTCATCCAAGATTACCAAGGACTGATTTCTGTTGACAGAGAACTCCACTGTTTTAGTTCATCCATCACACCATCTTGAAATCATCATTCACATTCAACTTAATCACCTAATTATATTATGGAAGATATTTGAAATGGCCTCATTGTTTGTCAATCGATCAAATTTCTGATAATAGCATTTTTTCTTGAACGTTAAACACTTTATCAGATGAGGTTTTTAGACATATGGCCTTAAGTGTTGCTTTTTATATCAACAGCAATATCTTTACCATGTTCAGTGATCCACCTGTAATTTCTGCCTTTCCTGCAGTATATTCCACTCAAAGCATGGCTGTACAGGAGCGGATTTGCAAGATTCTCAAATTCTAGATTCTCTCTAGAATCCATTGATGACACCTGTATCCTTTTCTTTGAACAGCAAGCCCTTCTTGTGCTAAGACAAACTGAAATAAGATCATGACTGTAACTACAGCCTCTTCCCTGGTAAAAAGGGAAAACTTGAATTTTATTACAAGGACATTTCTACTCTGTCATATGCCTTTTACATTGAGTCACTTTTGTGCACAATGTGGTGAAAAACACCTGTCTGTGTACACCCTACATCTTGAACTGGCTGTCTTGAGCCTGTGCCCTTCCCTGTGTCAGCTGCAGTTCTTGAGTCAATCGCACAAAGGTTAGAATGAAACAGCCATCCTTAACAAACCTGTCCAAACAGTTGTTCATCTGACCAATGTTGCTGTGCAGAAGACAGCACCAGACTACGACCCAGAGAAAGGTTGCAAGTGGTCTATGCAGCAATTCAGGCAGTACTTGACTGCCAAGCATGGCATTCAAGATGTAAGTATCTTTGGCATTTTCGTCTGTAACATGCAATGATCAGTGGAATTATAGCATGTAAACACTGGTCCTTCTTCAGGAAATTTAATGAATACTAACTTTCTTGACCATAGACTTATAAGTCATCTTCCCTCTTTTGTCTCCTTGAAAGATTATTCTCAGCAAATTTTGTGTCGCAGAATTCTTTGTCAAGGCTCCAGAGAGCAGATTTACTCTTAAGTCTATCCAGATTTTTTCTTTTATCTGTTTCTCACAACTTTAAACTTCAGTGCAGTTTTGCAACATATAAACTGGAGTTTTAAATGTCTGTAAGAAACTGAACTTGGGACTCAGGAAAACAGGATTTATTGTCAGAAAAAAAACAAATATCACTGCTGCATGGTCCAGTAACGCTGACTTAAGAACAAAGTTCTCATTAGAGAGGTGATTGTGCCGTTACAGATGGAGGAAATGTTCCGAAACATGAATGATATCTTCATCAAGAGTCTACACAGCGTTCAGAAGATCATGATAAATGACAAGCATTGCTTTGAGCTGTATGGCTATGACATTCTGATTGGACAGGATCTCAAACCGTGAGTTCATTCTCAGATTCCAAAGTTTTCTGTCAGTAAAATAATAATGATTATTGATAATCCAAGAATTGTTTTGAAAACTTTCTTAGTTTGAATACTGAGTGTGTCAGTCTTAAAATCTTAATTTGGAAATGTAATTTCAACTATTCTGTTAGAATCCTGATTGTGTATTTAAGATTCTTATTGGGAACTAATTTAGATCTTGTATAGAGTACATTGAATTTGATACTTAGACAGTGGCTTTTAACTTGTTTTTGCAAATACAAAGTAGAAAACTGAGAGTGCAAATGTTTTTTTTTAATTGTCAGTTGGAGAGGAGGGATTGATGAAATCTGTGTGTAGTGTGATGATTGATTTTTGACAATATTCTGTGAAGTACATGATGCCTTTTCCTCTTGGCAGGTGGTTGATTGAAGTCAACGCTTCTCCATCCTTGACAGCCAGCAGTCAGGATGATTACAACCTCAAATTTGGCTTGCTGGAAGATATGCTGCATATCATTGACATGGAGAGCAGGTACTAGACTCAGCTAACTTATGGAGTGGTTGTATCCTGATACATGTAGCTAAAGAGCAGTTGCCTAGCTAGGATTGGGGTAGGAGGCCAACGCAGTGCTCATAAAGGCTTTTTAGCTGAAGTTACATCCGAGGGCAACTCTCTGTCTAAGGGCTATGAACAGACACTTAGCAATTACCACAGGTCTGTTGCTTTGGAATCCACAATGATACTGTCTGTCGCTATGGCAACTGGGGAGCTTCTCACAATGGCTTAATGTCAAAGCCGCATCAGTCAGCAGTCCAGTGCATGACATGAGGCTGACACATCAACAAAGATACTGATTTTAAATGCAATTCTTGTTTTAAATTTCTCCTCACTACAGAATGACTGGCAAGGAGAAAAGAATTGGTGGATTTGATCTGATGTGGGATGACGGTCCAGTCATGGCGGAGGAAGGCGGAGTTGACTGCATCAGTCCTCCCTCCTACTCAACCAACACATTCCTTGGTGAGAAAAAAAGCCATATTGATACCTTTTTCTTTATTCTGCGAACATCGAGAACCAGTTTAGAGTTGTCAAATCGGAGTTTTTGTTCACATTGGTGCTAATTGTAGCATATATCCTTGCAGTAAAATTACTAATTTCTTGTTCTGTTTTCACAGGATGCCACAATGACAGAAAGACTCAACTGAGACAACTCTTCAAACACTTGACAGCAACCAAGAAAACGTGATGGAAGGGCCTCACTAAGCCGTTTTAAGTCGGTTCGTAAGCTGGAGTATTATTGAAATGGCCTACCTGTAGCCGATAACTTGACCTGCGTATAAGTTTGTGACTGCACAAAGATATGAGAGGTGCTTGGAGGAGATATAGACCAGGACCAAGTCTTAAACATTCTGAAAGACAAGATTGAGTACACTCATTGCATTATCCAGATTGGGGTATTACAATATATATTAGTCTGGTTATCCTGATTGGAATGTTACAACACACAACAGTGGTCTTCCTCACCCTACTATCCCTAACGGGGTAGCACAAAAGAGATTAGGGTTTCCTTGTCAACTACACCACTTGGATATCAAAGTGCAGATTTATGGGTCTTACTGTGCTAAACCAATTGGCCAGCATACTTTTTATTGCAATTAATCATGAACATGCATTAATTATATTTCTTCCCTGTAAACATGTCTCTTTCAGGACTGCATAACCATGTTTGCATTGTTTCATCTGCTTGTCATTTTTGCTTACATTAATGCTGCAACAAAATATTTTGAAAGTCCTTTCCTTGTGAGTTCACTTTAACCCCTTCGCGCCGAGACGTGGCCAGAGCCGCCGTAAAAATTGAGCTCCTCAGCCTGCTTTTCAGCTATTATTCTCGGCCCACACTTGAGCGAACACGGTGAAAGAAGGCAGACCCTGGCTCTTGTATATATGGTGATTGGCCTTTGTATGTAGCCCAGAAATGAAAAGACCGAATTTGCACCATAATCACCAGCTCCACAATAGTCCCCACTTTGAAAAGAGGCAACGGGAACGTGGAAGCGTGAGTAAAGCTGCATGCCGAGAATTTGTGGTTTGGCAGACGGCCTTCGTGGCCAAGCGAGGCTGGAATTCTTGGAGTCGGCTTTCGGAAAGAAATTCCCATCGTCAAGGGGTTAAGGAAGTCTGCTTGTGCCTAGAACTCTACGAATGAAATAGGTAAAAGTGGGATTTAGCATTTGAATTGAAGGTTGAGATAGACCAATTCATGAAAGAATGCTACAATATTCCAATGATTTTCTTGTCATTCTATTATCACATGAGGTGGTTGTATTGACATCGAAGCTGTTAAGGTTTTTATACAGTATCACTTTTATTCCGTCCTTGTCAATTCGTTTCTGAAAAGAGTTATTGCATATTTGTGGCAAGAATTTTGGGTGAAAAATGCAATAAAATGAAGCAAACCTGTTCTAGCTTGTCAGCTTTTCCTTTTATTACAAACAACCCTTTGTCATTTTCGCATTTTTTACATTTTCTACAGAAGTTACTTGGTAAATAAAAACTGCACTTCATCAAGCTTCATAAAACATGTTGGCTGTCACATGCATCGTTACTATTGCAATACTATTGTACTTTTAAGACCAAACTGGTTGTCCAAGGGTTACGTAAGATTTGCTTGTATGCACAAGTTCAAAATGTGCCGGTCTATCAAAATTTAAAGTATACTTTTTGAGTCCTGGCCAAAAAACCTGGCTCATGATTGACAATACACAAATTGTTTGTTCCTTATTCCCCTAAGCTCAGTCTTGAAATAGTCAGGAGACCCAGAATCCTGAGGAGTATCTTGGGGAGACGGACCCAAAGAAATGAGCAATCATCTCAGTGTCAAACATGAACATCCTCAAGGCATTCTAGAGGTAGTCATTTCAAGAAGTGGCTGGTACCAATGACAACGTGGCATCAGACCATATGAATTCTTTCTGATGGCTCCAGGAACATGTCAAAGATGGATGATCAGAACGGCTGGTAAATGCAGCAAAACCAGGTCGTGGCACTGGAAGGCAACAGTCAAGTGTAAGCCTTTGATGAGTTTTGATTTGATAGCTTGTCACCTCTTGACTGCTTTGATTTCCTCGCTGGACAACGCTGTTAGATCAAATCCTTTTGCTTTTTTCTGCCCTGTTATTAGAAGAAAAAGGTCAAAAGAACAACAACTATACCAAATGTCACTCTTTGGCTCGGTCATTTGTGAAAGAAGTTCAAACGGCAGATTGTTTGACTAGTTTGACTACCATGTCATGTGATTTGCTGGTCCAACTTCATTGGATCAGCTTGAAATTAAACCAAAGAACAAACAGGTAAAGACCCACGGACACTGAACAGCAACAGAATCAAAGAATACCACAAATACAACCATTCTTATTTGGAGGATTAGAATATGGTGAACTGTAGGGGCCTTGTAAAATGATTACTAGAAGTAATCTCACCTTCTAGATCTCTGAGCTTTGCCACCTTGGGTCTGAGCTCCTTGTGAAGTCGATCAATTTCTTCATCCAATTTCTTCTGATCTGTTGAAAGACATTTTACAACTTCTGTTATTTATACAACCCTGATGTTATTTACAGGGATTGATTATTCCTTAAACAATGGAAAATCCTTTCTTTATTTAGTATCAATCTTGATCCTGGATTGAAAGAAGTTACCATTGCAACAAGTCCTGCCTCGGGACACAAGAAATGAGCGATAGGGTTCAAAGTTCAACACCACTTCAGGAAAACAACTGCAACCACTCACTTAAATGCATTGCAATGCTCTACAAATCTTAACAAGCTGAACAATACTGAACTCTGATGCAATAAACATCTTTCACAAATTTGTCAAAGCAACAAAACTAAAACTTCATGGGTGTCTGAGAATGGATTGTTTGAGAACCATGTAAGGGGTAGTAGATTTTTTACCTTGCTCTACCATGGCCTGTGCAGAAGGTCCAGGAACTTTGATGAACATGTTACCAAAGCAAATCCAAGACTTGGCTACAATAGATCAAAAACAATTAAACAAACACAAGGTGTTTAAAAACAAAAGAAATGAAGAATGCATACAAACTGTATACAAGGTTAGAAGACTCACGAAGCACTAAAATTAGAATTAAAAAAGTACAAATACAAAATTCAACAAGTATTGAACTGCCACACCAGGACTGAATACAACAAATGTCATTTTCAAGAGTTTCTTTTTTTGGGGGGGGGTGGGAAAGTAGTTTATCAAGTTGATGACTTACATTCCCCAGTTCTGCTTTGTTGATTTTGCTTCATGAGGCACCTCAGGCCTTCACGATTACCATTACGTGTGCGATCCAGGTCAACTATCTGAAAAAATGAAAGCATAAATTTATACACATGATGAAACGAGAACGTCCAGTTATATGTCACAAGACTTTACGTTCAGGTTATTAACAGTTTCATATCTAGAGGGCACCGTTGGTAGAGAGCCAGGGGACATGGCTACGTTTTTGGAACTGAGAGCACAGAGAAATTGCAGAATATCCAACCATTCCAGAAGAGAAATTTGGAATCATGGTTATGCGTGGGGGGAAGGTGAAAATCCCCATGAGAACAGTTTGACCTCATAGCCAGCTTCGAGGTTAATCATTTTTTTGGGGGGGGGGAAATTTTGCGGTTGAGCAGAAAATTTAACAAATGTTACTAGGCCTATCTCCTTCGTGGGAGGGATTTTTCACAGGTTAAAAGATGGGACAGTCATTTTTAGAAAATAAATCCATCTCCCCTGGACCAAAGACCTGGATATGCCACTGGCACGACTGGTTTACCACGTTCATCATGTTCATGACGTTTATCAAGTAGGCCTAGCCTAAACCGAAATGAAATTGGCTCAATGTAGGGTAGCCTATGCCATCGATCCAATAGCTGAAAATAATAATAACACCTGTTGTTTATCTGCAAGAACCTCTTCAGCCACCTGTTCGAGTTCTCCTAAATGCTTGAGGATGAACTGAGTGTCCCTCGACATTTTGTGGAGAAAAAACCTCACGGAAAAGGACAATACACCAACAAAAATGTGGAACAATCCCTACGCCGCACCGGGCAGTACCGCAGCTAGCTAGCTAGCCCTGATGAGACCAATGCAGCATTTGACCACTGGAGGGCGCTGTTGATATCTCCCGCAAATTTTATCTCCCGCCATATTCGTCACGCAGTGTGCTTTGCACGAAGACACGACATTTTTTGTCGTGGTTTTTCATCTACAGCGAACTTGTTTGTGAAATCAGAAAATCTCTTTGGTGCAAGCAACATGTCGGGAATCTCTGTGGACAAAGATGCCTTTTTCAGGCGGATGAAAGTGATGTATGACGCGTGGAATGTGAGTTGTTGATTTCTCTCAAAATTGCAATTGCTTTGTACGCAATTCTCACTGTGCATGGCCTTGTATGTAACATGTGTGATACATGTAACTACAGCTTGACCAGTGCAAGCAACATCACACATTTTATCCTTGTACATCATTGTACGATCAATCATGCTAATAGTAAGCTTCTATATATCTCTTACAGTGCTTTATGTATGTTGACTTACTTCATTGTTGCCTTTGCATTGGTTTTTGCAGTGTGAAAAGAGTAAAATGCCACATCAAAAAATTGTCACATTGTAAAGACGTGATCACATGTCATTCTTGCCTTATTTGACATCCCTTTTTCTGGTGCCATTGTTAATCCTTTCAGTTTCTTGGATATTGTTACATTCTTGCTGTTTTGCGTCTTTGATTTTCATGGCCTTTTTGATGATCCTTCAGGGTTATTTTCTTATTTCTGAACAGTTTTCTGCTTAAAATTCAAGGACATTACATGTATTTTGGGACGTGCATTTTGTAATTCATTTTTTAACTCGGTTTTATTTTTTCCTTGTTCCTGCAGGTGTATCACTAGACTTCTAGAATTTTATTTATCAGTGATAATTAACTGGATTTCAATACTTTGTAAAAGCTAAGAAGTTGCAAAGTCTGAATAAAAGATCTGTTTTGAGTTTCTCTTAATTTTTGTAGGTGATGTGAAACAAAAGTACATTTACTAATATGAACACAATACGCTTCAGACCATCAGTTTAATAGCATTTAATGATAATATAAATATTTTTATTGGTAAATCTATTTGAGACCTCAGTTCTCCGTTTTATTTTTTCTTATTTGTTACTTTTTCAGTTTTTGTGTGATTTTGATTTCCATTTTCTTTTTTGGTTATTTTCTCCCCAGAATTCGTCCGATAACAATGGCCTCGGCAACGTTGACGCCATTTACACAGCAGTCGGTCTGGACGAAGACGTCGTCTATGCCAAGTCAACAGCCTTACAAGTGAGAGAGTTGACCCTAGGCCACTTGCCTGTTACATGCTTGCTCCTGGTTTACTTTGATCTTGACAAAACGGCAGTACACTCATAGCATTAGCGTTTGTACACTAATGTGCACCGCTGATTTCATATTCTATATGAAAAGGCTGGTTCAAATTCAAGAGTGTGTTATCTTTAATTTTTAGAGGATATGGGTAAAATGTTAACCCAGAATTAAACATTGCAGGAAGGATTTGGGTTAACTTTGGTCAATGGTGAATCCTTATGTCTCAATTTCTCCACTCCTCGTTCAGAAGTAAAAGTTAATATAATATGGTTTGTTTTGATTGTTAGACGTGGTTGTTTGGCTACGAGCTGACGGACACGGTCACTGTCCTGTGTGAGAGCAACATTTTCTTCCTGGCTAGCAAGAAGAAAGTAGACTTCCTGCGACAGATTGCTGACTCAGAGAAGGAGAATCAGAATGGGGTACCGGTCATCACACTGCTGACCAGGGACAAGAGTGATGGGAACCAGGCAAATTTTGAGAAGTTGACAGAGGCTATCAAGGCTAGCAAAGAGGTCTGTAGTCACATGACCCCGGTAGAGGATTTTGGAGAACTTAGATATGACCCCGGTAGAGGATTTTGGAGAACTCAGAAATGGTCTTTACAAAAATGCCTGTAAAGATAATGTCAGCAAAACCATTCCACTTCCAAAGGTGGTTAACTTAGACCAGAAAAAGGTTTCCGTTCTCATCGAATTAAAAATATACACCATTCCACAAATCTTGCTGAAATTCATTTTACTCTAACCCAAGTTTTCTCTTATAAGGATGAATGCAATAACCAAATGATCCACTGTTGAAGCTGTTCATATGCAGGGCTTGAGTGATGCATATTCATGAATTGTCCAACTTTGACCTATTGTTTTTATGATCCAGGGCAAGCGTGTAGGCACATTTGTGAAGGACAAGTTTCCTGGTGACTTCATGAACAGCTGGAGACAAGCTTTGACTGCTACCGGAGCAAATGAGGTACGGAAAATATGATGTCTTATGCCACCCCTTTGCTTTTATGGTCACGCCTACCCACTTCAGTGAAATTGCAGCCAAACTCTCTGAGTTAATTGCACTGTATACTCCAACAAGGCCATCAAAATATTTGTCCAGACTCAATATTGCTCTTTTGAACCAAGGTCGATATCAGCAGTTCCATCGCCCAACTGATGGCAGTCAAGGAAGAGAAGGAGATTGCCCTGATGAAGCGAGCAGCCCAGATCACATGTGATGTCTTCAATAAGAAAGTCAAGGAAGACATTATGGAGATTGTGGATGCAGATAAGGTGGGATGCTAGGGCTCATTTACAGACATCTTGTCTGCGGCAGCTAATCATAAAATAATGCGTAGAAACTTTAATTGCACATAAGTGACTTATTAATGTTAAATATGATTTGATGTGGTAATAGATCTGTGTTGGGCACAATGGGTTGATATTCGCAATTGCTCAATCTTTGTGCGATCATCCAATCTTACTGCACGGTTTGTCAATAAATCTGCCATCAGCAAATTACCTTTCTTTCTTACTTACACTCGTGAAAGATTCTTTCAAAAAATGGAAGTAAAGTTGGGGGTTACATGTAGAACTGACCAATCATGCAGAATGCTGAGCTGATTGCACCCAGCATTTACACTGTGTAGTCCATAGTCAGTTAGTGAAATTCTTGTAAGGTCATCAACTGATGTCTACCCTGCTAAATTCTCCACTACAGAAAGTTAGACACAACAAACTAGCAGATAGTATCGAAGCAGCCTTAGAGGACAAGAAGATCTTAGGCAACACGGATCCCTCTCTGGTAGAGGTCTGCTACCCTCCAATCATTCAGAGTGGAGGCAACTACAACCTCAAATTCAGCGTCGTCAGGTAAAGACCGAAGTTTTGCTTAGAATTTTCAGTGGTAGGGTATTGTGAAATTAAAGGTTGCAGCTTATATTGAGTTGATGCCCTGTCCAATTACTGATTAGACAACCTAAAGTTTTCTGTTCTGGGCACGGATTCGCTTGTAGGCACATCATCTTTGGCTGTGAATTGTTTTGCACATACACAGGTCAACATTACTTGGTAATCTGTAACGTATGCAGATGTTAATGTTGCATTTTGTTATGTGGTATTTCATGAAGTACAGCCGTAGAATTTGGCCCATGTGTATGGAGAATGGCTTTGTTTCATCAAAAACAAGTTATAAACATAGCAGGACCCCTTTCTTGGAATGGATGCTCATCTACAAAGGAAAGTTATGGGGCATCCCTTTAATCCAAAGTTTTTTTGCTCTGACATGACAGTGACGAGAACAAACTCCATTTTGGTTCCATCACCTGCTCCCTGGGAGTGCGTTACAAATCTTACTGTTCTAACGTCGTCCGAACCCTCATGGTGGATCCTACCAAAGAACAGCAGGAGAATTACAATTTCCTGCTCAGTGTGGAGGAAGAAGTCATCAACAAGTTAAGGAGCGGTGAGTAGGAAGCATAGACCTTGTCAGTTGTGAGTTAGAAAGTGGTAGCAGAAGTTGATACATTCACCATTTATAGCTTAGGTGACTGCACATGGGACCTCATGTCACATTCTTAATTCACATTCTGTATTGCTTTATTAATAGGCAAAAAGCTGTCTGATGTGTATAACGGTGCTGTGGCATTGGTCAAGAAAGAAAAAGCAGAACTCCTACCAAAGATGACAAAGAATGTTGGGTAAGCAGAACATCATTGGAAGTCTTGAAACTCCATCTCTCTAGTTGTCTGTATCGGTTGACAATTGTTGGAATTCTGTCCTCCATCATGTAAGCTTGAAACCTTGTCTGTCTCGATATTCTGAAAGACTTTTGCAACCATAAATTATCAACAAATTTAGACCATATCTGGGTCTTTGCCAGTTGCAAATACCGAAATGCGTGCTGAGAACAGACCTAGAAAACCAATGTAACTGACATTTGCTGTGTCAATCCAAGGTTTCTGATGGGGATCGAGTTTCGCGAGGGTAGCATGTTAATCAACAGCAAGTCAGAAGCAGTAGCCAAGAAAGGTATGATCTTCAATATCAACGTTGGCTTCTCCAACCTCCAAAACAGTGAGGCGAAAGATAACGGCGGCAAGAACTACGCATTGTTTGTCGGCGACACTGTGCTTGTCCAGGAGGTATGCTGAGTTACAAAAAAAAATTGTCTTAATTGCTGAGTTCAGTTGACAATTTCCCAGGAGATTAAGTTACAGCTTGCCATACTCAACTTAGGTTTGATCTGGGTCGGAAGAAAAAACAGAACCAACTTTTCTTTCAAGACTAAGCCAGCAATATGTGATTATACATGCTGGTCTCATGTAACTTACGTTCACAATCCATAATATTTGCCAACTTCGTGAATGAGTTCGGCACAGACTGTGAAACATTTGTGAAAGTGGGAGGAAACCCTTGTTTCAAAGATACTGTCATGAGACAACGCTCTCCTTGTTTTACTAGGAGGGGCCTGCCGTGCTTCTGACACCAATGAAGAAAAGAATTAAACACATAGGCATCTTTCTCAAGGTGAGTTTTTCTGAGCAGAATTACAAGGAATGAAGTATCAAATGTGACAATTATTCACTTCCCCTAGTAGGATATGCTCCAGAAACATTTCAGAACTCCTTGACTTGGGTAAAGAGTGCAGTTTCTTCCCTTCAGAAGAGACCTGTCTCTCTAAAGACCCCAAGCACTGAAATCTGGCTGTGTTCTATATCAAGTTTGTTTTTTTACACTGCCACTTTGGTAGTAGGTACTATACAACGACACCTCTTCATGTGAACGCTGAGGAAGGTTTACTTAAGATGTTTGCCTTTGCCTCTTTTACTGCTGTTGCTAGGGTGATGATGAGGATGAAGATGAAGACCTTGAAGATGCTAAACAGAAGCAGGAGGAGCTCTTAGGCAGGGGAATGAGACGGGCTGTCTTGGAGAGTAAACTCAGGGTGAGGCCGATTGGATTGTCTTCAAACTGAAGAAGATGGATACATTTGATATCCACATATTTGGATTCCATTATCAGACAACCCAAGCTATTTAGCTTGTTATTGATGGCGTGCATAAAACATGACCAGATGTAATGCATGATTTTGAAAGCACATTAACTTCAAAATTCATAGGAGATGTTTTGGGTTTTATTTGTCGCTAGACGGACATGACAGCTGAGGAGAAGCGGAAGGAGAGACAGCGAGAGCTGAGAGAGGAGATGAACAGAGAGGCTCTGGATAGATTAAAGCAAGTCAAGGAAGAATCCTCGAAGACCAAGTGAGTTGACAACCATCTCAGTTAACTGTCTGGAGAAATCAGGCAGAACTGGTTCGGTTGGAGGGACTGATTGATTTTTATTTCAATTCTTCTTTGTAACAAAACCAAGTATTCTTCCAAAGTGCGTAAGCTCTGCAGCCGCCCAGAGTTGCATAAAGATGAATGCAAGGCGGACGAAAGACTCCCAATGATGTTGAACATGACCGTAATCGGCATAATTTTGTTAAACATTTCTGAGTCTAATTCCTGGATCTCGTATTTCTTTACAGAACCAGAAAGTCCAACGCATCTTACAAGCACGTATCCCAGATGCCCCGGGACCCTGATGTACAGCGGTTACGTCTCTATGTGGATAAGAAGTATGAAACGGTTATCCTGCCTGTCTTTGGACAAGCTACGCCATTCCATATATCCACCATCAAGGTAAGTCGGGAGTTGGCAAGTTAATATGTATTACTCATGTTAACTTATTGATTGATGTAATGTTTGCTTCCTAAGAATATCACAAACCAATGATTTTGCACAACTTTGAAAGTCAAAGCTTTAAGTCCCATATCAGCATTTGGGAATTAGCAGGTACTTTTTACCCACTTTGACCATTTTTATTTACAGAATATCAGTCAGAGCGTGGAAGGGGACTACACATATCTGAGAATCAATTTCTTTCATCCTGGTGCTGCTCTTGGACGATCTGACGGCAACATGTTCTCCAACCCTGAAGCTACGTTTCTGAAAGAGCTGTGAGTCGACCTGCTGAATAGTTTTACACGAGTGTGACCAAAGACTGTGACTGTCGTCTTTGATAATAAAAAACAAAAGCTCAGTTCAACGCCTACTTGTTGGATGATTTCATAGCCTTTTTAGCTTGTAGATAAATTGTATGTTTTGTTGTATGCTAGGACATATCGGAGTTCCAATACCAAGGGTGCAGGGGAATCATCAACTCCTTCCAGCAACCTCAACCTCGCCTTCAGACTTATCAAAGATGTCCAGAAGAAATTCAAGACTCGAGAGGCGGAGGAGAGAGAGAAGGAGGTAGGTCGACGGCGTGGCAGAGTTTCCTACACGATAGAGAAAGTGTAGCCCATGAACAGGTGGATTTGGAGCCTCATTTGTGGTGTCTGTTTTTCTTTTTTTTTGTAGGGCATTGTGAAGCAAGATAAACTGATCATCAATCCAACACGAGGGAACCCAAAGTTGAAAGACTTGTACATCAGACCAAACATTGTCCAGAAGAGAATACAAGGCTCTCTGGAAGCACATACAAACGGTAACAGACTCTCAGCATCCATATGCTGCAAATATCTGAAAGTTGGATGATTTCGGAAACTCGTTGTGTTTAAAATCGTGTATTCCAGTATTTATTTAAGAGGAAGGATATTTTCTTATCAGGTTTTTTCAAGGACTTTGTAGAAATGTATTATCTACTGGCAAATACATGAAGAGACTTTTCAAAACAATAACATATATTAATGACAATGGACCTGGAGTGGAATATTGAAGGAGTCGTGCATGTTGGTTTGATTACAGGTTTCAGGTATACGTCTGTCCGTGGTGATAAAGTGGATATCTTATATAATAACATCAAGCATGCCATCTTCCAGCCGTGTGATGGTGAAATGGTTATTGTTCTCCACTTTCACCTCAAGGTAAACAAGACGGATTGTTTATGAACAGACAATCTGGAATTGTTCTTTATGTATTCAACCTTTTTGTCCCCAAAGATTCAACCTTGGAAAAGACTAACTTGACTCTCAATTCTTGTCTTTGACTTGCATCTTTTTTTTTCTTTTCAGAATGCCATCCTCTTCTCTAACAAGAGACACGTTGACATCCAGTTCTACACCGAAGTGGGAGAGATCACCACGGATCTGCTGAAACATCACAACATCCACGACAGGGACGACATTGCTAGCGAACAGGTAAGCATGAGATTGACCTTTGCCCTCTGACTCCTCAGGTTGGTGCTTATCACTATATGCATCTACAGTGTGAAAGGGAGTAGGTTACCAGATCACTGCAGAAATTGGTATTGTATATTTTCAAATGTTCTGTTCCAGAAAGTTCACTGAAAAATTCAGTCATTAAACTCATAAAATAAAGTGATGTTTGAAGATTGCATCTAAAATCTCGTTTAGGTTGGCAGACCTTGAGCATTACTTTCTTTCTCGGCCAGGCTGAACGTGAGCTTCGTCACAAGCTGAAGGCAGCCTTTAAGAGTTTCATTGAGAAAGTGGAGAGTATCACCAAGGGAGATATTGAGTTTGAGGTGCCATTCCGTGACCTGGGATTCCCCGGTGTACCACACCGTAGCACGGTGCAACTCTTACCTACCAGTAGCTGCCTTGTCAACGTCACAGAATGGGTACGGTAGAAAATCAACTGCATTGTCCTTAACGAAGACAGCACTTATTAACATCCATGTGCTTTTAGGGTTTCACTGTAAATTTCATAGAGTTTTTTTAACATTAAGTAGAAACATAATTGATTGGTTTTGTCCTTTGATGTTTGTGATTTCATAACACTGGCATAGACCACTATCATTAGGCAGCCTACTCCAGGCTGTATCTTCAGTTCCGTTACTCATGTACTGTCTTCCTGTTGCCATTGCCAGCGTTGTTTCCGCCATTCAGTTTTGGTTGTCTTTTCTCGTCAGCCCCCATTTGTCATCTCGTTGGAGGAAGTCCAGCTGGTCCACTTTGAGCGTGTACAGTTTCACATCAAGAACTTTGACATGGTGTTCATCTTTAAGGATTACACACGCAAGACGGCCATGGTGAACGCTGTTCCCATGAATCTCCTGGACAACGTCAAAGATTGGCTCAAGTACGATTTCACTTGGATCGACTTTTTTCTGTTTTTTGGACTGTTAAGTTTTGTGATTTGATGGATGATAGTACGTCTGCATGCTTTTTAAAAACTGTTTGAGAAATGATGGTTTTTAAATTTGTTTCCACTCAGTTCTTGTGACATCAAGTACACAGAAGGCATCCAGTCTTTGAATTGGAGTAAGATCATGAAAACAATCCTGGATGACCCCGAGGGATTTTTTGAGAACGGTGGATGGAACTTCTTGGAACCAGACAGTGATGTACGTTGACCTGTAACCATGGTTACCATTAACTGTTGTAATCCATTACCATGTTAAGAACCTTTTTACATTTTCAGCTTGCCATCCTTTCACATAGAATATTCCTGATCAGTTTTTCTTTATTATTATTTTTTTCACCATTTCCTGGTTGGGTTGTCTTGTATTATTTCCTTGTTTACTGGCAGTTTATATAAAATAACCCTTGTGCATACTCCTGTTAAGATTCTTTTGTGATCTCTCTGAGTTGTTGCCATGACACTGTTGCCATGACAGGGAGGCGAGGATGAAGATGAGGAATCTGAGGAGGATGCCTATGAACCCTCAGGTTCCGAGGAGGAAGTGGACAGTAATGAATCCGACAGTGATGATTACTCGGAGGAGTCCGAGTCTGATAGTGATTACTCAGGTAGGTATCCCGTCTCCTGAATACAGGCAGAGAATACTGACTATCATGTAGAGTCCCTTAATTCAATGTCAGAGACTCACCTGATTTGTATCTGGCTTAGGTGTTGGTCTTTACCAATAACATGGCCACAGCTCCGGAAGCTTGTTTGGACAAAGTCGAACTTGCAGTATTGTGTGTTGGATTGCTCAATCAAGTTGGGTTGTGCTGTGGTTTAGAGAAAACAGAGAATTGTAAGGATAATAGCCCCCTCTGTAGTTTCACTCACAAGTTTGGTCCTGTCACGGGGTCCCTACAGTCCAGTATGGGCACCTGACCCTAAATTCACATGACACTCATTTCACCTGACCCTAAATTCACATGACACTCATTTCACCTGACCCTAAATTCACATGACACTCATTTCACCTGACCCTAAATTCACATGACACTCATTTCACCTGACCCTAAATTCACATGACACTCATTTCACGTAAAGAACTGTCTCTGATTTACTGATATCCCACCTGGCGACATCTCCATAGAAACATCACAACGAAATAAAACTGAGGAACAACTCTCTGGATGTTGACTTTTGCTTTTAATATTACAGAAGAGGAACTTGGAAGCAGTGAAGAAAGTGGGAAAGATTGGGATGAGTTGGAGAAGGAAGCAGCGTCAGGTATGTGGGTAAACGTAGCACTCTTTGTTGTATTAACTTTCCCTTGTAGTTTTTTGTCGGGCATATTTTCTGCAGTCATTACATTTGGGCTATTTGTAGGCTTTCACAATAAATATCACCCTGATTCTAATTGTTTATTACGCTGAGACATTTTTAAAACAATGACCCACAGCTCTGCTTATCTGTGGCCCTAATTGAAAGCTACAAATTGTTTCTGTATTCCTTGTAACATTGTATCTATTATCAGCGTTGATAGTTCATACACTGTAAAATTCTTCTGATGCAGCGGACCGACGAAGAGACTGGAACGAAGAGATGGAAGAGGAGACACTGAGTCGTAAGAGAAAGCGCAACGAGGCGTCTCGCAGCGACAACAGGAGACATGACGCCAAGAGGAGGCGTTGAAAGACCAGCTGTTTGCCGGATAGTCACACCGCCGGATAGAGGGCGCTGCACAGATGCCTACCATGCAACATCTGTACATATTGCTAGTTTGGCCCTTTTAGATGTAGAAGTGGGTACGTCTGATGGGTCTTCAACATATTGGAATCCCAAGTAATGTTGACTTTTGTACAAACAAAAGGGATTCACCAGTGTACACTTGTGGAATTTGTACATTCGATTTTTCCGTCAGTGAAAGGGGGATATCTGAGTTATGAAAGATGAAAATTGAAGTTGCTTTGAGCTGTGACATTTATTGAATCATTCATCCGACCCACCAATGTCAGTGGTTTAACTAAAAATTCTACCTAAGAGGGAAAGGTTTTTCATTGGTAAGTATCGTCAAGCCTAGGCTTGAGATCAAGTCGGTAATTGGCAGGGTGTAGTCCACCTTCCTCGTGATACGTAACGTGTGCATAACGTGTTTGCAGTTTTAATAATGCGGGAACAGTCATTGCAACCTCGTTCCCCAATATGCGTGTTCGGTGGTGCCCAATTACCGACATAAACAATTCGCAAGCCCATTTGTGTACAACATATGGGGCCTGCTACCAAAATTGGGCGGTGCACCTTGACTGGCTAAGAATCTCGATTATATGAATATTTATTTTAGGGGTAGTTTGATTGGTTGGTTGAATGCTTATTAGCAACAACCACAGTCTCGTTCATTGAAGTGGGTGTTTACATTATTCTAAAAAGATGGTTAACCATAAAAGCATCCTTGTTTTAAAACCAAAAACAGATATTTAATAGATTTTTTCTTGAATGGAGTATAGTTTGTCTTTAGGCGTCATATTAAACACCACGGGTCATTTGGTAAACACCTCAAAGAAGCAGCGATGTGTTGTGTTGTGCACTGCACCAACTGTCCCTCACAGGAATATCAGATTGCAATTTTGTGCTGCCCAACAACTGTGCTTCACTGTTTCATGTGCATCATTGTGCAGTAAACTAAATGCAGTGAAGAGGACTGCACAAAAGACCCTGGGTCATTTGTGCTGGCAACTAACTGTACACACTGAACCTGTACATATTTGGGTTCCATATAGAAAACATTCAAGAGAGCGACTGTGGGCATTTGTGCATATTTGTGCTGTTAAACTAAAGGAGAGTTAAGGCAAGATTTGAAAGAAACTGGCACTAATCAAATGTAGACATCCCTATATATAAAATGGATGAGTCTGTTATGAAGCGTGAGCTACTACTGGTGCTCTCCATGGAAACATGAATATGCAGTGCAGTTGTTGCATACATGAATATCCATCCCGAGTCGGGTTGATCAAGTCATTAGGCAGGCCCCGAATCAGCACGGTACGCTATATTATGGGCAACACTGAACAGGCTCAACACTGTAATTGTAAAAGGATGCAGCATGGTGGCTTATATTGTGGATGACAAAAAGCAGCCAGGTTTTGTGGGATTGAGGAAGGTTGAACACAGCCCGTTATCTTACATGGGGATTCAAGGTCCTTGAAAATGGAAGAACAGAGAATGTGCCATCGGTTTATTTCGCAGTGAGAGACATTGGAGGATTTAGAAATGTTCTTGAAAGGGTTGTTGAAAAGACAAGGTGAAATAAAAGTCACTTTAGCGAAAGAGATTCCTTTGCATCCAGGTGAAGTTTAAATCTGCCAAGTGTCGAGATGCTGTTAGAGCCAGACTTAATGAATCAGTCACTTTGTGTGTTGGAAACTTTCTGTTTGCTTTCTCTGAAACTAGATTTGGGGGGGTACAATTTTTTCTGAAGCCACTGCTGAAACTGCTTTCCATTAAGATCCTGATTAGGAGTTCTGCTTTTTTGAATTTCCTCTTTGGGGGGGGGGAGGAACTTGTGTATTTCCTTTTTTGTGCAAAGCACCACACATTTTTGTGAGGAAATACATGAATGGTGTTGTCTGGTAGTTTAAAACATTTCTCCACAACTGGCAAATTTGTAAAACCTTGTCATAATTCATACTCGTCGTGTTCTTGAATTCTGAAGATTTTGGAACCACAAATGTGAACTGTCAGAAAAAAATGTACATTTTTGTAAAAAAAAAAAGGCTTTTGTAAAGATAAATTTTGTGTGAGTAAAGTTACAAACAAACTTACTAATCCAAGTGAACTTTTTTGTTAGAAGGGAAGGTATTTTGACTTCAGTTCGAGTATATTTGAAGTGGTTTAAACAAAAATGAAAGATTAGTGCTCTGTCTGAGTGCTTAATTAATGACCTGGTATTGGTGTTTCTAAGCCTACAGAGTTAACTTGGAGAGCAGATTTCACGGGGCTGCCGAGTCCTACGGTAGCCCAATTTTCAGAAGTATTAAAAAAGAGAGTATCAGGATCAGGTCCTGCATTTCTAAAACGTAAAGCGCTTTCCATTGGCTACTGACTTGCCTTTCTCTAATGATTTCTTACATTTTTAACAAAAGCTAAAACCTTCCCATGACATTTCTCTGTCAGAAGTTTACATGTGTATATTTTGAAGTAAATTGAACCACTTTAAACAGTTTTCTTAACCTTGATTGAACCTGTTCTTCATTTACACCCTTTTTGTGATGTAGATGAAACCTGTATCATAACCATTTATTTACAGTTACCAACTTCTAGTTAGAAAATGCTTTCCAGAAACACTGTAGCCCATTACATTTTTTATCGTAGCCAACAGAAGAAATGAAACACATTTTGAAATAGGAAATGACTCTTTGGAAGAAGAAAAATAAGCTCATCTGGTAACTATGGAATCTGAGCTTCACGTCATGAGCAGTTATTGGTGCACAGTTGTTTATCTTCAAGATTTGTTCATATTCAACATATTTGATAATTGATATGTAATTATGTTTTCAAAACATTTTCTTTAGTTGTGAATTTAGTGGGACTGTCTGTCCATTGTAAACAATAAATGTGGATAATTTCTGTAACAAAAGCCAAATTATGTTGGAAAAAATGATTGCTTCTGGAATGGAATTTGCAGTTTACAAGAATTCAAATTTGAAGTACACATATATACACATTGTCTTTTCTTGGGCGGATATTTAAGGGTAGCTTTGATACAACCTCAGGACATTATCTTTAGTTTACAAAACTGTTATTAATTTTCAAATTGTTTTCATGGTATACTGAAAAAGAACACCGTAAACAGAAAGAGTTCATTTGGAAAAAAAACTAAGGGTAAGAAATCAAAAAAAAAGTAAAAAAATGGACAAACTTGCATCTGAGCAACATCTTTAAAAACTTTTATTCTCCCGAGCTCAACAAGGAAGAGGACAAAATCTCCCCAAATCTTAGAACATTCACAGGAAAGGGTGCAACTTTCAGGTACAATAAATAAACCCACAATCCCTTATTATTTTAAAGATTAATTGAACCCAGTCATTTGTGACTCACAATGATAAACATCAATCCCAGTTCAAACATACCACAAATGTCGAGGTGCATAGTCAGGAATGCAGCAGTAATACCCCCCATCCCACTCAATCACAGAGAGTTCATTTTTTTAAACAAAGAAACGGAAACTTGAAACTCTACAGTAAATCTATCAAAATGCTACACAAAATAAATAGAAAAACCACAAAAAAAGTCCTGTTTACTCACAATATACATCCAATCCTCGTTAACTCACAAATCAAACTCATTAACTTGAACTTCAGCATGGTCAGATAACTACAAAAAACAAAATCTTTGTTCCTTGCTTCCACTTTACACTTTGTACTGCCATAAAATTCAATGGACATTGTTATTTCTTAGGTAAAATCGATGTGTTGGACCCTCTCTTTTAGTTTAGCTGTATTGCACATCATTTCAAGTATCCATTATGTTTTTACTGTGATCACTTTCCCGAAGTGTTTCGACCATATTGTTTTTTGGCCTTAATTTGCAGCTAAGTTTTTATTTGGATTATTGCCAACAATCACTGGGGCATCTTGAAAAATAGTACTAATGTACTTGTGCTAATACTAGTACTAATGTAATAATACTAATACATGTACTAGTACTAATGTAATAGTACTAATACTAATACATGTACTAATACTAGTACTAATGTAATAGTACTAATACATGTACTAGTACTAAATGTAATAGTACTAATACATGTACTGGTACTAATACTAAATGTAATGGTACTAATACATGTACTAGTACTAATACTAAATGTACTTGTACTAATACATGTACTAATACTAGTACTAATGTAATAGTACTAATACATGTACTAGTACTAATACTAAATGTACTTGTACTAATACAT